GGCCCCCGCTGGGCTCCGAGCTGAACGCGGGCGCGAAAAACGTTTCCTCTATCTTGGGAACTTGAATCTCCACCGTGCGAATCGAATGCATTGTCCCCGGCCGAAGAGCTCGTCAGCTGGAGGATGCACACCGAACTTCAAGGCTCAGGAACCTGCCAGAGAACAGTTGAATGAAAAAGAAAAGTTTACACGGGGAAAAACTGAAGCCAAATTCCAGTTTAGAGGCGCTGTAATATCAAGGCCTTATGCACTCTCTCCCCCTGCCCGTGCAGAAGGCTGGCTCTTCAATAAATATTTGTGGAATGAATGGATTGTTCTTTTCTTTAATAATTGATCATCTTGAATATTGTTAATGTGCTCGAGCATATGGTTTAGGAAAGATTACTACATATAGTGCTGCTTTTATGTCTCACGCAGACCTTGCATCTCCATGAGAGAACATAAGCTGTCATTTCAAAAGTTCGTTTTTCAAACGCTGTTTGACAAAACGGCGAGGTGGGGGAATCAGAAAATACTGAGAGATTAGAGTTGATTAAAATGCTAATCTCCAAAATTCTATGTGTTTACCATGTAAATCAAACAGCATTTGTATTCAAAAAGGGTGCATATACTATAACTCCCAGGAGGTCAGACTCATCAATATTAAACATGTGCCTATTGTTGCAGCCCGTAAAAAAGAAAAAGACAAGAAAGAAACACCCCTGGCACAAACTCATGAAATTAGATGTTATGCTATAAACCACCACTTTCCCAAGCAAATCCTTCAAGGCAAACTTTGTCCTTGCTTTTATTATAAAAGTTGGCAACGGTTTACTGTAACGGAGTTTCTTAACTTTCTGGCTTCCATATTAATATAAAATTTTTCCTTATTGTAAATCTTGTCACTGTTTTAATTACTTAGGAAATTTAGTTACCTATATTAAAAAAGCATTTTTAAACATCACTGGTTTCTAAAGAAGCTCCAAGCAATAAATTAAAATAAGATTAAAGTGGCATTAATCAATCATGTTACAAGTATTTCAGCTAGAAGTTTATTGTTAAACACTTTGAAAATACAGAAGAGCTACCTGCCATGTTAGTATTTTTAAAGTAAGTCCAAAGGAGGAAAAAGTACTATATATTATATGATGCAATTTAAATGCAAATATTCCTTCGCATATTGTCAACCAACACTTTAAACCTCCCTCCTTAAACATTTTTATCAAAATAAAAAAAAATGGTGCTGTAAATCTTTGATGTAAAAGCATTATGTAGCAATAATGACTAGCCTTTTTCAAATTATGTTCTTAAAAATAGATGATAACTTAAGGGCAGGCGGCCAACCAGTTGTCCTCGGTGGCCCTTTTAAGTAAAGAGTTTGGAGAAATCAACTTTAATAACTTTGCCAGGGTACTAACCCAGTCTCTGAGTGATTCCGGAGTCTTGAAAAGCCTTTGTTTCACCTCTTGCACAAGACTGCTCTCTTCTAGAATCTAGGCTCCTCAGAGGGCACAATTTGCCTAAGGGTGTTAGAATTGTCTGCTTCTTTGAGTACTGAGGTACTAGGAATCTTGACTTTTGCTCTTTCTTTAAAGGGACATCTTTGATTCTGAACTATTTGTTTCCTTACTATTTTCTTCTGGGGTATATTCTACAAATTTTGGAGATAAAAGGAGTGAGGAAGGCAAGAGAGAGTAAGGAAGAGAGGGAAGGAGAAAGAGAAGACTGCTGATTTTTTCACATCCTTTGAATGTGAAATGAGATGACAGTCGTGCAGCAGGTCACAGCTGACAAAGCTCTGTTACATGCAAAATCTTGTTTGAAACTCACAAGTGTGGGTATCAGATGTAGGTAGGTACTCTCAACCCAATTTAAATTAATGAATCAGCTCAGACCAAGGGATTTGTGCGAGATCACAGAGCAACAAAGGCAATACTTGAACCTATGAATTTAGGTCCCAAATTCCTTATAACAAACAACACTGCACAGTTTACTCTTTAAAGGAGTGGTAAGGGCATCAAAGGTTTGCTAGAATATTCCTTGGTATTTAGCAGTCCCAAAGATGCCTGGGACATGGCCTGAGCTTAACTCCATTGGATCAAGAAAGAATGTCATACCTGTAGTTGCAAAAACACCTTTAACAAATAGAGATCCTACCTGGCCACGTACTTGGTACAGAAGAGAAATAGGCAAGAGTGGCCAGCCTCTGTGTTCAAAGAGCTAATCTAGTGTAATTGTTAGCAAGAATCTTCAGTATTAGCATCCCCAAAAGGTCACAAAAATTGTATATGAAATAAAATGTGGCGCTACCCATTTTCCAATAGAGGGAATTGGATCTGGACTTTAAAAATCATATAAAAAAAAGTAGACTGGAAAACTTGAAACAAATGCTGAACTCCAATTCATAATATGCATATGTGGACATAGTTGGGATAAACGTATTGATCTCTGCATCTTACTCTAAAATACCTCACATAAATAAGATGCCTTAATGGATGGATCCATGGACAGATATGTAACAGAGCAAGTATAGCAGAATTTTAATTGTATAATTTAGATGATGAATATATGAGTGTTATTGTAAAATGCTTCCAACTTTTCTGTATGTTTGAAATTTTTCGTGCTAAAATGCTAGGTAAGAAAGTGGTTTGCAACAATATGTGAATTTCCCAGCTTCTTTGAAATTAAAATCGTGTAATGGTTAATGGTGCTCAATAAATACTAAGTGAATGAACAATCCTCCTCTTCACTGTCACCTATCTGTTTGTCTGAATTACATGTCTTTTCTTTTTCTCTCTTTTTTCAGCTCTCTTTCTCCTCCATCACTCTCTCAATTGACTATAAAATACACTAAAATGTTTTTTGGTGTTTTTTTTGTGAGGAGGATCAGCCCTGAGCTAACAACCATGCTAATCCTCCTCTTTTTGCTGAGGAAGACCGGCTCTGAGCTAACATCTGTTGCCAATCCTCCTCCTTTTTTTTCCCCAAAGCCCCAGTAGATAGTTGTATGTCATAGTTGCACATCCTTCTAGTTGCTGTATGTGGGACGCGGCCTCGGCATGGCCGGAGAAGCAGTGCGTCGGTGCGCGCATGGGATCTGAACCCCGGCCGCCAGCAGCAGAGAGCGCGCACTTAACCACTAAGCCATGGGGCCAGCCCTAAAATGTTTTTGATACTTGTTTTTTTAGTTTTCTCTCTGCTTAACCTTGGTGGAATGTTTGAGAATCTCTAACAAGACAATCAGACTGCATTTTAATTATCCAACTCATCCTTTTCTCCAGCAGGCGAATGACCTTCTTTTAAAAGACAACTCCGCCCTGACATCAATCACTAAGACTTGGCCTCCCAAATTCACCTCTTGGTCCTGACTTCACGCCTACACTCCAGGTCCCTGGACCCACTTCCCAGAGAATACTTCCACCACCTGCCCCCACTCAAACCCAGCATGTCTGAAACTGAACTCATCTTCTCTTGCATATCTCATCCTCCTTTATCTTTTCATCCAGTAAAAGCACCACAATCTCTCCAGTTGCCCAAACCAGACCTGTTGCTGACCCCTCTCTCTCCCCGAGTCCCCACAATATACCACAGAGACTTCTCTATTCTACGTCCTTAGTGTCTCTCAAATCCATTCACATCTCTCATCCCAACTGTCACTTCTCTTGCCTCCCTCCCACCGCCAACTCCATCTCCCATCTGTTCTCTCTGATTATCATCAATGCTTCTCAACTGGGGTGACGATTTCACTCCCCAAGGGACAATTGGCACTGACATTTTTGGTTGTCCCAATGGGGGGGATTCTGCTGGCACCAGGGATGCTGCTAAACATAATGCAAACGATAGTGCCGCACCCCAACCAAGAATGATCCAGCCCCAAAAACGCTGTGGTTAAGACATCTCCTTTATCATGAAGTCTCTCATAGAGCTGAGAGTCAGTAAATGTTTACTGAATGAGTAAAAGAATGATTCTTTCAAAATTATATTTTTCAGTTATCAAGCTAAATCAGAAATTTGAAGGCAGAACCTAACAGGACAAATAAGATTTTAAACATTGTATCTCTAGTACCAAATATCTTAAACGGGGAATTAACTCTTCTCTGAGACATCAGTGTATGAAGGGGTTCCATGAAACTATGCATCTGTACGAATATTCCTATTCTCCACACACTCGATAACATTATAAAAAGCCCTTGCTTTTACCAAAAATTTTCTGGTAACCAGGACAGAATTCCCAGAGCTCTTTTTACAGAGATAATTATGTGCATCACAAACAAGCAGGTATGCAGCTTTCGATTTTTACCATCATCTTTCATTTTATCACCAATGCAGCATTTGGAAGGAAAATGTTTACAAAACAGAAAAAGTCAAATATTCTCCAAGCAATATAGAATGCAGTACAAATTTGTTTCTATATTAGAAAAGAGTTAAAGGAAAGAATTCTAGATCACATATCTTCCTCTCGGCTGCAAATGGCACATACGCATCCCTCTTAGACATGTAGGCGCACTTAGTTTTCAATACATATTAGGCAAAAAGTTTTTGGATTATTTGCAACTAAGAAACAAAGGAAGAAATGAAAACATTTATTTTCTCCTTACATCACAAGGAATCTCCTACAAAGCTCAAGGATTCTGGTACTGAGTCTCTAGACATATCCTTTGTGAGTGAAGTTGGCCTTTCTACCTGAAAGGGACCGTTCAGGGACTATCAAGTCAGTTGTCAACAACCATTCAGAATTAACTGTAGAAAGCCCACTGTAAGTGTCTC